TGTTGGGGTTTTTTATATTAGAGAATAGTGTTATAGTAGGATATGATTGTTCTGTCACTGATTAATTAGTATATTAACAAGTAAAGAAGGCAATATGGATTGGGATCAGTGTTAAACAGTGCAAAAATTTCCTCTCACTGCTATATAAAATATTTAAGTCTATGTAAATAGCCATATTGGTGATACCTATTAGACCTTAATTAGTACACAGCACTGAGGCTGTATCATTGATCTCATTTGAAGGACTGCTTTAGTAAATGAAGATCAGGGCCTGTAGAATTTTACTGTGTATTAATTTGAAGTGTATGTGTGTTTATAGATGTTGATTGCCTTTTGGGGACTTACCTGCAAATACCAACCACCATAGTAATTATATTTCACTTTTAATAACTTTATATTTGTTGTTCTATTTTTGGTTCTATTTTATGCCCCACTTAATCTTTTAATAATGGTGGAGAATGAAGTATGTAACAAAAAGAAAGTACTGTAAATTCCCAAAAATACTTTCCACTGCAGAATTATTTTACTGCAGAATTTGTGCAGTGGTATAGTCAGTGCAGAATTTATTTTTCAGATTATACTGTGTATTTGCTTACCTGAAGTGTGAGCATACTGGGACAATATTGAATGTCATAAATCACTTATGGATTAATCTAGTTTTATTATATTTTTTATTTTGTTAAAAATCTTCTAAAGTTGTTTTTGCATTTCCTTCAGAGTATGAGTTCTTTTATCACTGCTTAATCATTCTCATTTGTTTTAAAAAAAGCATTTGTCTTTTCTGTCAGTTTACTGCTATTTAAAATTCTATACAAAACATCTGCTAGTTTTGAGTTTAAAGTTGCATTTTTCTGCATACAGTAGAATGAGCATCGGTATGAAAAGAAATAAAATTTTTTTAATCTTTAATTTGGCTTGTTTTGCATGAAATTGTTATTTCATTTTATCTGATTTTGTAGAGATAAAGAGATGTCTAGTTAATTAAACAGCATGTTTTTAAAACATACATAAGTATTGTTAGGTGAAGATAATTTCAGATAATTTATGAAGAGGGTGTTTGAAGATCTGATGCAGTGTTTGAAAAATCATCTTTAATGTTTTCCAGTAAGTTACATTTATGTCACTGAATGAGCATCTCCAGTGTGTTCACTAAAAATGCATTGTGAAAATCAGAAGATAATTTGTAAACTCATCATAAACTAATGAATGAGAAGTTAAACACTTATTTTAAATGTTCAAGAAAAAATAAAGAAGGCTCCTATATGCTTTGAAGTGAACAACTTATAAAAGGTGGTTGGTGGTAGTACTGAAAAAAAGAATAATTGATAGAGAATAACAATTTACCGCAGTGATATTTCACCAGTGGTTTAATTTTTATTTATCAATCTTTCTTCTAACTGAATTGAGTATGCGTGCTGAATAGTGTTAATGTGTTTCAACTTATTAATAATGATGTTTCTCTCACTGAGGTTTAGCCTGCCATCTTTCAATGGCAAAGTGCCTGTTGATATTCCTGGGAGTTTAGGCAACTGCAGTGCAAAACAGATTAAATAGTACTTTTAAAATTATGTGCAGAAGTAATAAGAATATTAAAGTTGTGGAGTTAAGCACCAGAAGTTGCCTGTTCCAACCTTAATGTAGTCTTGTTGTACATATACATTATGATAATTCTGTTCCTTGTTATACTGAAAATCTGTTTCAGATTTTCTTAAACGCAAGATTGTCATCTGTCTTTTTGCAGTTCTGTGCTCCATCTCTTGTCTCTCACATACATTGAAAAGTTAAGTACCTTGAAGAAATACTCTCTGATCATGTTGTAAAAAGCTGTATCACAAGTGATAGGCACTGAGGGATCAAATTAACGCTGCATGAGAAGCAGAGTTGTCAGCAAAATACTTTAGTTGGTGGTTTGTTTCTGTTTCTCTCCCTACAATTACACTGGGGCCCAGATAGCAGCTGCAGAACTGCTTGCAGCTTCCCAATACAAAAAATGGGAAAAGTAACAGGAAAACTAGTTTGAATCTGAGTAGTTTTGGAAACATGCTGCCTGATAACGTTATCTACAGGATCATTGAAGAAGCTTCTGTAATTTCTCTGTATTTTAAATTCTGGTTATATTGTGATGACCTAGAGATGGACTGGACTTGACATATTTCAGGATAGAGTACATATGTGAGACTGTTAAGGTTTGAAGAGAGAGAAGAGGTTGTTTTGTATTGTATGAACAAGTCTCAAGTTCTGAGGCTTCGTATGTTTCAAACTATTATCTGAGTTTTTAAACTAAAGTAACACGTGGCATTCAGAGTATGGGCTACCTGTTTTCAGCACGGTGATGCATGGCTCCTACCAACTTATTTTCAATTAATGTTTTCTGGTGTTTCAAAAAGAATAATTTAGTTGATATCCCTAAATATACATGGATTAAATGCTTCTGGTTTCTGAGTTGCTATTAACATATTATCTTGGGTGGCATTTTTCTGCCATCCTTTTCTCACGAGGTTGTCTGCTGTTTCTGCCATGGTCATTGCCAGAGTTCTTGTGTAGAATTCCTACTCTTCATATAACTCACGCTGCGAGTACCTCTAACTATTGGTATTTTAACATATATTTTTATATATATATCTATGTGTACCCACACACATGCACAAACACCTCTGTGTGTGTGTGTGTGTGTGTGTGTGTAAAAGGAGCTGATTCTGAATTTTGGAATTACTGATGAAAGTAGCAGAAGTGAAATTGTTATTCAAAAATCTATGTTTGCTTTCTTGACACTTTTTATAGAAATTGTAAGACTCCTGTGAATCTTTAAAGATCCTGTCATAGAGTCATTACCTTAGAATTTCCCTTTGCACTTTCATGACAACTGAAACCTATGGATGTATTCTTGGGTTCAACCCTGCAGGTTCAACATCTGGCTGATGGAAGCAGAACATTTTTACCAGAGGTTCTTGCACTTGGAATTTTTTTCCTTCTGTGGGTCTGTGTCAAAACCTGACTGAGCCTGTTTAACTTGAGGCAATGGTGTAAGGCCCATCTGTTCCTTGAAACTTTTCCCTGAAGGAGTGATCTAGAGAGCATGTTCTCAGCTGTGGTTGTGCTTTTTCAAATACTTAGTTGATACTTTTTGATTAACTTGTGGTTTGAGGTTTTTTTTTAAGATATGCTGAATGGATGTATTCTTAAAGCAAATTTTAAGAATCTTGAGAACTTCCTTATCTTTAATTTTTAAAGACAGTGAAGAACTCACGTCTGTTTATTATGAATGGATAAATAATTTTAATCAACTGCTGCTGCTAGGAAGAATATAGTGTAGGGAACCCACTGAGACTTCTGTTGTACTATTTAAAATATACAAAAGTCTCTGGAAATAAGTGAAAATGCAAAGCATATGTAACTGAATGCCTTTGCACACCTGGTTTTAAAATATTCTGGCAGTATAATGGGTTGTTACATTCTTTAGAAGGGAAGACTACTACTGATTTTGCAGATAGTTTCACTACCTTTGTATTTGAACTCGGAATTACCGATTCAAGGAATGGTCTATGTGTTAAAGCAAGGTGACATTCAAATATAATAAAAATTTCCTTCATGAACCTTTGTAGGGTGCTTTTGGGAGTAAAAAGTGTACAGTTAAGTAATTAGCAAAATTAAAAAAAAAACATTATGAAACCTTTTTCTGGATTAAGATGATTGTATTTGCTGCAACATCATGACTTACTCTAAGTGGTTTAGGTTAACATTTTCATGGGAGGAAAAGAGACAACATAATTATGAAGGTGCTTCAAGTGCAAATATTGGGACTCAATTACATTCATTTGTTCTTGTAGGATATTTGAATGAATAATTTCATTAACTAAAGAACATGAGGAGGCTTGCCTACATGAGGGAGCTATTACAAAATGTTATGGTATGAATTTGAAGTATAATAGCTATTCAGCACTAACTCCTTATATAAACAATTTTATTCTGTACTACAAATAACCTTTCACAGTTTAGTTGACTGAAAAACATGCAAGTTCCCTCCAGCCCCAACGACGAATAAATATTTATGTAGGGAGTTAGTGTGGAATAGTTACTACATGATCAAGTTACATTGTTAGCTTATTCTGTACTCCACTGGCCTCCTTAAAAGCATCCTTGGGACAAAGTATAGTATTACATTACGGATGTATTCCTACAGGTACTTGTATGCTGTAAAGGGCCTTAGAGCAAAATGTATTCCTTCTGAGAATATTTGTGAAAAATGTTTAAATAGTTGACAGCATGATTCAATTAGAGATCCTAAGTCCAGTATGCTTCGCTGGAATCAAAGATGCTGGCCATGCAAATTTGCCTATCATTATTTGTAAAATAAATTAATAGTCTCAGTGACTAAGTTAGATTTACCGTGTTTAGTTGACGTACAAGGACTAATGATATTAAGAAAATGACAGGATTAACACCAACTGGTATTTTTAGGATTCATTTATAAGTCATAAACAACTTATTTTCAGTGATGGTAGAATCATAAATTACCTTTATTCTCTTGCATAATATTATGTGAATATGATAAAGCTAAATTCCCGTGTGTCATTGTTTATGTAATAGATAAGAAAAATAAATGACCACAAGAGCTATTCTATGTCCAGCAGCTTCTGAAGGTCACTGCTGTTCTGCTGCCTTCTAGCTTTCTAACACAGTGAATTCGGGAAACAAATATGGAAGCCTTTATGTGAGAAAATCAGAATATGATTGAATGCATGTATCTCTTAAGCAGTGAGAAGTCAATAGCGTTGTGTATTAATGTCTTTAAATATGATATGCATTTTGGCTTTTCACAAGAATGCAATTTCAAATACTTTAATTTGCTTGTCTTGCAGTTTTTATCAACAAACTACTTTTGTCTAAAACCAAAGTGTGCATTATTTTTCAGGAGTTTTGATCACATTAAGATTTATTGTTTAAAATGTATCTCCATGCGTTTCTTAAATATACTTTCTTTGGTTCTACAATTTTCTAAGAAAATAGAAAAACTGGGATTAGAGCTGAATGGAAACAAACAGCGTTTGGAACAAGCCCAGCAGGATGTGACAGGAGCCAGAGAGGAGTGCCTAAAACTGACAGAACTGCTGAGTAAATCTGAGCACCAACTGCACCTCACCAGGTACCCCTTATCCTATTACATGCTGTAGTACCAATTTCATTCTGCTAATTTTTTGCCACAGGCTTCCCTGCAGTTGTTATAGATACTTGCAGTCATTGACTGCATGGGCAGTCCTCAGTCATGTTAGAAGTGGAGATTTAAATAAGTGAGTTATGAACCACAAAGTAAATTATGAACTGTAATTTATGAAGGTGAATTACTAGTGTGAAGAAAAGGCAATGTTCATCTCCAGTGATGAGTTTGCATGCTTTTGGGCAGGAAGAAGAGCAGGGGAGATTGCAGCTACATTCTTTTTGTTGTTGGTGTGTTAGGTAGGACAAAGATATTTTAATTGTCGCTTGAGAATGTAGTGTACAACAGCACCTTTAAGCATAGGAGTTCTCAGATTAATAACCTGAAGTTTCTGCATCAGAATGACCAGGAATGTATAAATGAACATAACTGTGTTAAGTTTTGCTGAAGATTAAAGAACCAAAAGGTAATACTACTGTCTGTGAATAGAAGGTAAGCTCAAGTATGTGAGGAGGGTGTTTAACTCACTTGCTCAGTGGAGATATGGTACAAGGCACTGTGTGATGAGAAACTTTGCCTGAACTTATTCCAAACTTGGATATAACTCCCAATGCCGTTTTTTATACAATTCATTACACCTCTCTAGAAAACACCAGAAGGTTAACATGCCAGTTACTCATTGCAGCTTGAGTTTTGGTAACTGCAGGATTTTTTCCTTTGGCCACAGAAAATGCTCTTGTCTGACTGTTTGCAGGGTTTTGGTTGTGTGTGTGCTTTTTGTTTTGTTTTGTTGCACCACTCCATCCAAGAGTGAACATCCAGAAAAAATCCAGTGGTTTTTATTCAGTCCTTAAGGAAAAAAGTAAAGTGAGTTTAAATTTTACATGGGGGGGAAAAAAAACCCTCAGATTTTTATCACTTAACAGAAATCTGCATGTTTATCTAAGTCTTGTACTCTTTGAGCTTTGTGAGAATTCTGCCATTGAGTAAATGGAAATAAAATGGACCCTCATCTAAACTATTAAATTCAATGAATCATTTTTTTATTCAGCCACATTTCTGTGTAATTCAGAGCACGGTTGTTTAACAGATGGAAGAATGTACCACTCTAACAGCCTGTATTTAGAGAAAAAATATGCTAGAGGTTAATGAACTTGAAAAAAGTTTTGGGTGAGTTGTTAAGATATCTAAAGTTTGGATTTAGCAGAACTTTATTAATAATGATTTGTTGTGATAGTTAACCAAATGGCTTACCACGCTCCTTTTAGCAAAAGGCTGATTATATTCAATAAAGCTCTGGATATCTTGGAGGAAATCTGACTAGCCAGTATTTTTATTTTTTTTTTTGTGAATAATACTCAACTTGTGAAAATGAGGACTATTGCCTACTTTTACACAGCACTTAAAGCTGGATACCTAACATACAAATGATTCAGGTAGCTTTTCAGTCTGTGGTCTCTGACTTGGGAAGTTTCTGAGATGCAAATCACTGGGAACATTTTGGGCAAGTAATGGTCTGTGTTGGCCCTGTTCTCATGCAGTTTCACAGACATCTGCTTTTTGACACAGATGCCAAGTGCCAAGGCTTCTTTGTCTGACCTAATGCAGCCCCTCGTCTGCAATGTCCTAATCTTTATTTTATTTTTTATACTTTGTGTTCTTGTTATGGCCTATTCTTAAAGTACTGAAATGTTTTCTATGCTGATATTTAATTGTTGGAAAAATGTATACATTGAAGCATGGGAAATAGGATCAAATCTTTCTCCTTGATACTCCCAAGTTCTATAATACTTTCTTCTCTGTAGGCTTTTTTCTCCTGCTTGTCTTTGGAGTGTCTGTCTGGCTTCCAGGAATGTATTAGATGATGTTGCTGCATGGACGAAGGGAGGGAAAAGAGAGGAGAGATTTGTTGCTCCTGAACCATTATCTGTTGTCCCTGTGTACTTAGATTGGTAGGTCAGTTAGAGATGTTCTCACATAGTCATCTGTTTTCCCTAAATTGCAGAGGAAAAGATCCCCTAGTGAAATGAAACTTTTATTTCGCCTGTACTCTTTTTTCTCCCTCTTAGATCAATTCCTGCCAGAAAAGGTTTTCTGTATTAGTGAAGGTAGAGAAGTTACATGTCTCTAGTGGCATTAGTTTTGTATTTTGAGCTGAGTATGTTTTTAATGGATTGGTACTTCCGTAGTTGTTGCATGTGGACTTTATTCACTTACAGTCTGCCTTCTTTCATTCTTTATTCCCTTTACTTCAAACGGCAGCTGTGCCAGTGGAAGTACTCACTTGAAAGGTAGTGGTAATAGCAATCCTATGAGGGTTATAGACTCATTCACTGTGGCACTTGCCAAGGAAAACAGATTTTAAGCTCTAGAGTCCTGCCTGTGGGAGGTTGCTGCAGCAATTGCACTGATTTAGTGCATCTCTTGGGTATTCTGGCCTTGGCCTTGTCTTGCTGATTCCCCTCTTTTCAGGAGAGGACCAGCTGGTCCACTCCAAGACTTCTCACATCACTGGACTTGAGGGAGGCCTGTACTGCTGTTACATGGTTGTGGATAGTCTTTCTGTTGCCTTGCATGACCTGTCTGTGTTGTTCTGGCAAAAATTAGAGGTAGCTGAGAGTTACAGAAACGATTTTTTGTTTTCTATGAATTAGTATATTACTAAGGAGAAAAGTTCTTCACTGATCCACAGATTCTAAGTTTGGATATTGTAAACAAATAGAATAATAAAATGAATACAAGACCTTTGGATTTTAATGTATGAAAATTAGATGGTAGATATTATATGAATGGATTAAATGAGAAAGAGCATGTAGTCTGTCTTAATGAGAAAAAGAAAGTGCTCTGCAGAACTGCACTCTTCTCCAGGAGTCCTACTTCTTTGCTGCATCCTAGTTTTCAGACACTGTTGATTGATTACCAACTAAACAGCTTCTAAGTTAACAAAATGTACTTGTTAAAAATCAAGAAAAAGGTTACAATTAGCTATTCTAAACTGTTGCCACAGAGTTTAAAATTGCCTTTTCCTGTCACTTTTCTTCCTGGAGCAATATGTTGCTTAGAAATTCTTGCTATTAACATGCATTTCCTGCTATTGAATCTAGTTAGTAATTCTAATGTGAATGTCTTCAAATGACTGGGAAAATACAGAACTTTTGCTGTGTAGTTTGACTGTCAGTCATGTAACTTTGCAGGTCTCATCATGCTATGAGACTGACCATGCTTGTTTGTTTATTTTTTTTACCCTAGTTTCAGCTTTGTGGTTATTTGTATTAGTTATGGTAGTAGGAGAATCTTGCAAAATTAATTCCAAAGACAATGTTAAATTACCGTTACTTTGGCAAGGTTGGGTTTTGTTAATGAAGCTTATCTGAATCTATTCTTCAGGGAGCAGAAAACATACAGATCTATTGTTCTTGGTTCATGAGAGAATAATTGTTAAAAATCATGTGAGTATGCTAGTGATAAAGATCACATAAAAGAAGCAAGATGTCAACAACTTAGCATGTCATCAAATTTAATAAAATTTTTCACTGTGTTTGCGTAACAGAAACATCATTAAAAATCTTTCCTCTTTCTTTTCAAAACAAATATGAAGTTGTTATTTGTTTTAGTTGTAGTCAGATGTAGTTCCTGTTTGCATATGCTAAAGCAGTTAAATAAATCTTAAGAAGCGAGGGAATCACTGAATTTCAAAATTGAACTTTTTCTCTGCCATCATTCATTTTCTCAGGCATGGAGATAGGTAGATGTCTCAAGATATTTTTGACTGAAATGTCATCTAAAATTTGCTGTGAGATGTAATTGAGTGGAATTGCAGCAGATTTAGTTTAGTTTTTTACTACTATTTTCTTATAGGAGACATTGCAAGTATTGAATGTCAACTTGTATGTGGGGAAAAACTTAATTAAAACAGTAGAACCTTGTAGAACAAGGTATTAAAAACATTGTATTAAAACAGTAGAACCCTTGCTTCCAGGTTCAGGTGACCCACCAAGCTGTCCTGAATCTATGTGTCACTCTCTTGAAGGATAAAAGTTTATAATACAGTGAGTCAGTGGGTGTTGTAGTTCTTTTTTTTTTTTCCCCATTATGTGATATTTCTTTTCTGTCTTATTTTTGAAAATGATGTGATCTCTAGAAAACAGCATATCTAAGTGGCGTTTGGGGAGTACAGTGGGGTTTAGTACTGCTATAGCCTTCTACTGTGCATCGGTCCTTCTTGCTAGTTTCAACAACTCCATTAACACTAATTTGTATTACATGTATAATAAATAAATTGCATAAATCTATCACTCCACCTCTGGGTTCTTGTGGCATTATTTAGTCACTGAAGCTTTGGTGTTGAGCTGTATGTTGTCACCAGCATTCCTTGTTAGAATTGTAACATGCCTCATACATTGATTTCCCCATTTAAGCTATACTATTAAATGATAAAATGCAAACTAACTTCTTCGTGGTTATACATAGCCTCTAGGGAGTTGCACAGTACTTAGTATCTATTGAGGTTTTTTCTACTAGTATATATTAGTTAGCAGCATACTTACTGTTGTGCTTTTTCCAAGAATTTTAGCATGTCAGAAAAAGTCCATCATCTATGCTGGAAAGGAGGCAATATTCAAAGAAATGCTGTTACTAGTATTAAACAAGTGAGATATGTTTTATGTTCCCAGACTGACTGACTGATGAAATGACCAATAATACTTAAATTGGGGGGGGGGGGGG